CTCTGGGGACTCTTTAATGTTGCGCCAGGGTGTTAGTTCCTATGTTTAGTTGTTCCTTGTTTTCTGTCTAGATCGTTTAGATCTATGTTGGCCAGGGTGGTTCCCGATCAGAGGCAGCTGTTGCTCGTTGTCTCTGATTGGGAACCATACTTAGGCAGCCTGTTTTGCACAGTTGATTGTGGGATCTTGTTCTGTATAGGTTTGTGTTGGTGAACCTTGAGACTTCACGTATCGTTTTGTTGTTTTGTTATTGTGTAAAGTACTCATTAAAAGATGTACGCCTATCACGCTGCGCCTTGGTCTGCCTCTTACAACGATCGTGACAGTCTGCTTTCAGCAGGACAATAACCTAAAACACAAGGCCAGAAATCGACACTGGAGTTGCTTACCAAGAAGACAGTGAATGTTCCTGAGTGGCCAAGTTACAGTTTTGACTTAAATCCACTTGAAAATGTCAAGGGCTGAAAATGGTTGTGGAAGAATTTTGAAAAGACTAATGGGCAAATGTTGCACAATCCAGTTGTGGAAAGCTCTTAGAGACTTACCCAGAAAGACAACCAGATGTAATCGCTGCCAAAAGTGCTTCTACAAAGTATTGACTCAGGGGTGTGAATACTTATGTAAATAAGATACTGTATTTCTGTATTACATGTTCAATACATTTGCAAAAAAATCAAAAAACATGTTTTCACTTTGTCATTATAGGGTATTATATGTAGATGGGTGAGGGAAAAAAATCAATTTAATCAATTTTGAATTCAGGCTGTAACACAACAAAATGTGGAATAAGTGAATACTTTCTGAAGTCACTGTATTAAGTGCCAAATAAAGTAACAGGGTTGACTGTAACAGGGTTGACGATTTCTTCTTAAATCAGCCATAAATCCCCTTATGACATGAGAAATGGAAGCTTGTTGTGTGCAACAGTGAGTGGCAATAGAATGCAAGCTTCACAAAAAAAATATCAAGCCTGTCTGTCTGTGGGTAACAGGGTGGACGTGTTAACGCTTGACCCACTCAGTTTTCCACCACAAAACACCAGAAAAAGTTCCAAAAGGGTAGAACCAGCTCACTTGCTTTTACACTATGATTTGACTATTAGAGGTTCAATGTTTCCTTTGGAAAAAAATATTTTAAAAGGAATAGTTTCACCATATTAAAACGAGAGTTCAGTTCACGTAACAGGGTTGACCTTAAAATGAGGGAAATGAATCCCTTATCACATGAAATAAATAATAATCTTCAGAAATGACTTTGTCAATGCAGCAACATACAGTTGAAGTCGGAAGTTTACATACACTTAGGTCATTAAAACTTGTTCTTCAACCACACCACACATTTCTTGTTAACAAACTATAGTTTTGGCAAGTCGGTTAGGACATCTACTTTGTGCATGACACAAGTACATTTCCAATAATTGTTTACAGACATATTATTTCACTTATAATTCACTGTATCACAATTTCAGTGGGTCAGAAGTTTACATACACTAAGTTGACTGTGCCTTTAAACAGCTTGGAAAATTCCAGAAAATGATGTCATGGCTTTAGAAGCTTCTGATAGACAAATTTACATCATTTGAGTCAATTGGAGGTGTACCAGTGGATGTATTTCAACGCCTACCTTCAAACTCAGTGCCTCTTTGCTTGACATCATGAGAAAATCAAAATAAATCAGCCAAGACCTCAGAAAACAAATTGTAGACCTCCACAAGTCTGGTTCATCCTTGGGAGCAATTTCCAAACGCCTGAAGGTACCACATTCATCTGTACAAACAATAGTACGCAAGTATAAACACCATGGGACCACGCAGCCATTATACCGCTCAGGAAGGAGATGCGTTCTATCTCCTAGAGATTAACGTACTTTAGTGCGAAAAGTACAAATCAATCCCAGAACAACAGCAGGACCTTGTGAAGATGCTGGAGGAAACAGGTACAAAAGTATCTATATCCACAGTAAAACGAGTCCTATATCGACATAACCTGAAAGGCCGCTCAGCCAGGAAGAAGCCACTGCTCCAAAACCGCCATAAAAAAGCCAGACTACGGTTTGCAACTGCACATGGGGACAAAGATCGTACTTTTTGGAGAAATGTCCTCTGATCTGATGAAACAGAAATAGAACTGTTTGGCCATAATGACCATCGTTATGTTTGGAGGAAAAAGGGGAAGGCTTGCAAGCCGAAGAACACCATCCCAACCGTGAAGCACGGGGGTGGCAGCATCATGCTGTGGGGGTGCTTTGCTGCAGGAGGGACTGGTGCACGTCACAAAATAGATGGCATCATGAGGAAGGAAAATTATGTGGATATATTGAAGCAACATCTCAAGACATCAGTCAGGAAGTTAAAGCTTGGTCGCAAATGGGTCTTCCAAATGGACAATGACCCCAGCATACTTCCAAAGTTGTGGCAAAATGGCTTAAGGACAACAAAGTCAAGGTATTGGAGTGGCCATCACAAAGCCCTGACCTCAATCCTATAGAAAATGTGTGGGCAGAACTGAAAAAGCGTGTGCGAGCAAGGAGGCCTACAAACCTGACTCAGTTACACCAGCTCTGTCAGGAGGAATGGGCCACAATTCACCCAATTTATTGTGGGAAGCTTGTGGAAGGCTACCTGAAACGTTTGACCCAAGTTAAACAATTTAAAGGCAATGCTACCAAATACTAATTGAGTGTATGTAAACTTCTGACCCACTGGGAATGTGATGAAAGAAATAAAAGCTTAAATAAATCATTCTCTCTACTATTATTCTGACATTTCACATTCTTAAAATAAAGTGGTGATCCTAACTGACCTAAAAAAGGGCATTTCTACTAGGATTAAATGTCAGGAATTGTGAAAAACTGAGTTTAAATGTATTTGGCTAAGGTGTATATAACTTCAACTGTAAATAGGGCTTTACAATGATGGTGAAACTTGGAGAAATGTTGGGATTAAGTGGGTAAAAATATTTATAAAAGTGACACAAGTTGATGGAGGGACACTTTAGCAAGCCTTTTTTCATATAAAAAAAATCAGATGTATTGAATTCTCCATGTGGTCTATATTAAAGGCCATTTCATTTAATATAACAGGCTTTTAGAATTCAATATTGGTGCATAATTTCTACTTAAAATATCAAAGGAATGCAAAAGGCACTCTTTTCGTGGAAAGACCCCATTATTTGCCAGGGGATTTTGAGAAGCATCTTGTTATTGGGACTGAAGCGTTGTGAGTGTTGAAGCTCCGAGCTGTTTATCATTACATGTGCCTCTCTCTCTCTCTCTCGCTGATCTTCCCCAACAATGTAATTAGAGGGGAATAAGACAGGGTTCCCTCAGGATTACCATTTGACCATTATCCAGCCATGTTCAAAACTTTATGGTCCCATGGAAAATGATTCAGATTCGGGAACATCAACACGGAGAGACAACGGTAGGAGAATATGCACTCCGCAATAACAACAAACCGTTATGGGCGCCAGGAGAGACACACCTTGCTTTATACACACCTTAAATGGGGGCAACGTTAGTGTCTGGTGACGTTGCATTGCTCTTACGTCTGTCATTTTTACACGGGCACAAATTAATGACATCAAAGAGCACCTGTTGTTTTTAGAAACATTAGGAATTAATGGGACACTGGAAAGAAATATCGTCGTTGTTCTAAACCATAACTAGGTTGATATTTTTTTTCTCAATGAATTTCCAACATATAAAAGCTTAAGTATATGGGCTATATTAAGTACACAAGCTCACCATTATTACAAGCTAACATCTCTGCAGCACACACAAATTAAAATAACATTAAAATAACCTTGGGAGAACCTCCTACGTTCATAACTCCTGATGGATGAACAACAAACACAACCTGGACCAGACCTGTGACTTATCATCCCACCGTTCTGATGACATCACCCCCCTGTCATCCATCCCTCAGATCAGAAGATGACACCTCTCATCTTGCCCCCGTCAACATCATCCTATCAAATGTACCCAACCCCGTGCCCCCTCGTCAGAGAGTCAGGATGGGTCGAAACACACAGTGCTGAGAGGAGATTTGTGGCTCCTTCCCTGACCCCCACCACCATGGCCACCCTCTAATTAGGCAATGCATCTGATCGTCATTAACAGCTATGGAATAATGAATCACTGGCTCGTCTCTGTGTTAATTTGCTGCAACCAAGCAGCTAATGGATGTCAGAGCTGACTGATCACACTGATTGTGGTGATTTCTAATTGCAACAAAACAATTTAAAAGCAGCAGGATTATTTATGTTGTCGCCTACGACGTGAAAAGAGGGATGCGAGGAGATGAAATGAAAGGAGAGGAGAGGAGAGGAAATGAAAGGAGAGGAAAAGAAAAGGAAAAGGGATTGTGTTTGTAATTTGGTTCAGATGAAACAGATGAGATTATGGTCAGAAGAAGGAAGAGCGAGGAGCGACGCTGTGAAGATTGTGCCTCCACATTGCACGGCCCCCTGGGAAATCCAGCCGAGCTGTGCTGATGCTCTGACATGGCTGCTCATATCCTTCTGATGCACAAACACAAATACATTTGTCTCTCTCTGCCTGCATGGGTCTCTCTGGGTAAGTGGAAAGGATGCCTCCATCCACCAAAGTCAGATCTGAGCGTAAATTACCAAATCACAGTTGGCAATTAAACAATGAGCAATCGTAACCTAGAATGACAACGCCGGTAATTACACATTAAATGCAAGGAACATAGTGGGTTTCACACATTTTGAGCTACAAATAATTGTGTGTGAGTTTTATGTCTATTGTTCCTGTGAGTGTGTGTGCTTGTACATGTGCGTTTGTTGCATTTTGTCTTCTCAAATGATTCATGCAGCCACCACCACCATTGCTTTAGAGTTTATTTATGAAATATGTAATATTCACATCATGTACATCTACTTGTGTCCACCCCCAGTAACTTCTAACTGGGAAGCTTTACTTTAGCTGCTTCTTATGCTAATAGCACCAACCCCTTCCCATTTCCCCCTTCTGTTTGTTTATTTTGCTGAGCGAGCACTGGATAGCCCCGGGCGAGAGGGAGAGGAGAACAGAGGGAGAGGAACGAAGAGGGAGAGCGGGTGGACTTCAGTCAGTGGCAGGAGGACAGGCACGCGGGCCAGGCGGGCGGTGGGATATGGGGGATATGAGGAAATGGAGTCTGTGTGGCTACAGTTTACCTTTGGGCTGGCCAGCGGTCCCGTGGTCTCTGCCTCCTGAGAGGCCTCAGTCTCAGTGGCCAGGATGTGGGCTTTGATGGCGTCCAGAGTCTGCAGCATCCAGCTGTGCTGGCGGCGGATCTGCCTCTGGAGCTGCTGCCACTGGTGTACGACCATCTGGAGCATGTCCCTCAGGCCTGGACAGATAGACAATAGAGAGAGAGAAAGTCTCTGGTTTAACCACTACCTATAAACTTCCTTCCATTCTGACACACTCACCCTCCTAAAATCCTTCATTCACTGATGTACTGATATTTATCATTTTATTATGCTAAACTCTTTTATCCTTGATCATTATCATTATTATTATTATTATTATTATTATTATTATTATTATTATTATTATTATTATTTACCTTGTTTATTAGTCTTTAAAGGGTGAGTGAGGTCTTTATTTGATATGATCAGGAATTATTCAGTGGTCCACCTTGCTCTCTCTACCCTGAACACAGATGCCTATGTGATCTGCCATACAGTATGTGAACTAATGTACAATATATGAACACACCAATATGTGTACCACATGTGATGAGTAGCTGGTTTAGAGTTAAACCCCTCCCACAACACACTGCATCCACCTGCAGAACCACCACGGTGTTACTCCAGCCCTGTCTGTCTCTCAACCAGCAGGACACTGTCCCAGCAGCCATCATTCACCCAAATCCTGTTTGAACAAACTCCAGCCCTGTCTGTCTCTCAACCAGCAGGACACTGTCCCAGCAGCCATCATTCACCCAAATCCTGTTTGAACAAACTCCAGCCCTGTCTGTCTCTCAACCAGCAGGACACTGTCCCAGCAGCCATCATTCACCCAAATCCTGTTTGAACAAACTCCAGCCCTGTCTGTCTCTCAACCAGCAGGACACTGTCCCAGCAGCCATAATTCACCCAAATCCTGTTTGAACAAACTCCAGCCCTGTCTGTCTCTCAACCAGCAGGACTCTGTCCCAGCAGCCATCATTCACCCAAATCCTGTTTGAACAAACTCCAGCCCTGTCTGTCTCTCAACCAGCAGCCATCATTCACCCAAATCCTGTTTGTTCAAAGTAATCAAATCAAGATGAATGAGCCAGGGCAGAATGTGACCCTGTAATGCACACACCCACACACACACACACACACACACACACACACACACACACACACACACACACACACACACACACACACACACACACACACACACACACACACACACTCACTGTACTATCTATCTAGTGACTGGCTGCTCAACAATGTCACACACTGCTCATACCTGTAGAATTATCATGAGTGAACTGCAGAGTTGCTAGGAAACCAGGTATTAGTGTCTGCAGCGAAGGAAGTAAGGGGAGAGATTTGCTGTCTGGTTGACTGGCTGGCTAGATGCTTTAGGTGAATAATCGGCCCAGCAGAGGGGAGGAAACGTCTGGAAGATGGCCTCTAACTCAGGCCCTGCTGTTCCTAATTTCACCTATCTTCAAAAACACAGTGCCTCCCTCCCTCACTCGATCCCTCTCTTTTTATATCCCTGGCCGTGACCCCACTCTCCGAGGGTGTCTCAGGGAGTTAGAATATGAAAAAAATAAACATTTACAATTCACACGTGTATAATACAAACTTGTACATGTGTGAAGTAGGACAGATATAAACTGCCACCAAATTATTATTATTATTATAATATACACAGCGCCTCCTTCGCTTTTTCTCTCTCCTACTGTGGTCCTCTGTAGCTCAGCTGGTAGAGCACAGCGCTTGTAACGCTAAGGTAGTGGGTTCGATCCCCGCGACCACCCATACACAAAAATGTATGCACGCATGACTGTAAGTCGCTTTGGATAAAAGCGTCTGCTAAATGGCATATTATATTATTATTACTCGCTCGCTTCAAATACACAGCGCCTCGCTCCCTCTCCTCTTTCCACCTCTCTCCCTCTCCTCTTTCCACCTCTCTCCCTCTCCTCTTTCCACCTCTCTCCCTCTCCTCTTTCCACCTCTCTCCCTCTCCTCTTTCCACCTCTCTCCCTCTCCTCTTTCCACCTCTCTCCCTCTCCTCTTTCCACCTCGCTCCCTCTCCTCTTTCCACCTCTATCCCTCTCCTCTTTCCACCTCTCTCCCTCTCCTCTTTCCACCTCTCTCCCTCTCATCTTTCCACCTCTCTCCCTCTCATCTTTCCACCTCTATCCCTCTCCTATTTTCCACCTCTCTCCCTCTCCTCTTTCCACCTCTTCCTCTCCTCTTTCCACCTCTCTCCCTCTCCTCTTTCCACCTCTCTGGCTCTCCTCTCTATCTTTTCTCGACCCAGTCACAAGCACCAACCTCTCCCAGCCTGTCCGAACTCACTCACTCACTCAATCCACTGCAGATAGAATGCCATTGGTAATGTATGTTGAAAAAGCTGTTTCTTTACCCCCTTCCCCTTGCTTGAGAAGCGGTTACTTTAAGATGTATACATTCTGAAGGTCAGTATGTTAATATAAACATTAATAATAAATGAGAGGGTTGCGAGCAGTGAGAGCCGTACCTGATTTGTGGGAGATGATGACTTCCAGCAGCTGCCTGCCTTCCTCCAGTACATAGTCTTTCAGGGAGCAGTGACTGTCCACGTTCAGCTTGAAACTCTGCAACAAAGACACAACCAGACAACATATTAACACAGTCTTTCAGGGAGCTTCAGGGAGCAGTGACTTTCCACGTTCAACTTGAAGCTCTGTAGAACCAGACACAATATAACACACACGATGACACCTCACAACAGTCACCTTGCTACATGCTCTCTCTCTCTCACTCTCTCTCACATTCTCTCATTCTCTCTCTCTCTCTCTCTCTCTCTCTCTCTCTCTCTCACACACACACACAGTTCTCTATGTTTTTGAACATCACAACAAAAATAAAAACATTCATATAATACTAACACTATTTCACACACTAATACACAAAGCACACAAGTCCCAGTCCCCACATCATACAGACACCTTGACGCAACCTCCAAGCATCCTTCATAATTCATCAACCTGTGCTATACTCTACTTATTACATTGCATCATATCACTCTCCACTTCCCTCTACAGTATCTTTACCATCTATCCTGACATATTGGGACAGAAAATATCTGTATTTGTAAAAAACTATCCAACATACAGAACACACAGAAATACAACATTGGCTACTGAGTTTTTTTATTTAAAGGGATGATTCACATTCCCTTAAAAAATATATATATATACTAGAACCCCAGAGTCCCCCTACTCTCTTCTTCTCCCAATTAAGTACACAGTCCTGCTCTCTGTCATTCCCCCTCTCCCTCTAGAATCCCCCAGTCCCCCTCCATCCTCCTCTCCCAACAGACCATCCCTCCATCCTCCTCTCCCAACAGACCATCCCTCCATCCTCCTCTCCCAACAGACCATCCCTCCATCCTCCTCTCCCAACAGACCATCCCTCCATCCTCCTCTCCCAACAGACCATCCCTCCATCCTCCTCTCCCAACAGACCATCCCTCCATCCTCCTCTCCCAACAGACCATCCCTCCATCCTCCTCTCCCAACAGACCATCCCTCCATCCTCCTCTCCCAACAGACCATCCCTCCATCCCTTAAAGGGATCTATCATCCACCCATCCCCTAACTCTCCAATATGTGTGGAATATTCCCCCAAGCCCCCCTATTACTATGATGTCTCTATTCCACTATTGTTATTCTCTTGAAAACATTAATTTCTCTATCTCCCCCATCCCGTCTTTCTGTGGGTGCAGAGCCAAGTGCTGTCGTGGTGCTAAGTATATATATATATACACACAGAGAGAGAGAGAGAGAGAGAGAGAGAGAGAGAGAGAGAGAGAGAGAGAGAGAGAGAGGAGAGAGAGAGGGAGAGAGAGAGAGAGAGACGAGAGAGAGGAGAGAGAGGAGAAGAGAGAGAGACAGAGAGAGGAGAGAGAGAGAGATCGAGAGCGAGAGAGCTTTCAAGAGAAAGAGGAGAGGAGAGAGGAGAGAGAGGAGAGAGAGAAACATTATGCTGGGACCTGGAGCAGGAGGAGGAGGAGGAGGAGGAGGAGGGGGATGGGGAGGAGGGGGATGGGGCTGTGCTTTTGAAGATGTTATGGGTGGTTGGGGGGTGGAGGGAGGAGTGGGGGTGAATAAAGAGTGGGGCTGAGGGGTCCCAGGGGAGTGATGTAGTGAGGTGCCTGGAGTCATCTTCGCCTTAAGATTCTCATATCCTCAGATCTTGGGCCGACATGTTGCTGGCGATTAGGGCCCGGTCTGATCTGACCAGCGTGCTGAAGGTGTGCCGCGCCAACACAGCATTGGCTAAATGCTTCTGACAGCCTGCCGCCGAGAGAGCGGGTAGAGGAACACTGAACGAGGCCCGGCTCTACTTCACTGGGCGGAATGGATGATGGGGAACGGGACACCAAGCTCACTAAGTAACTAAAAGATGCCCTCGTTGACTCGCTCTAATGCTGATCCAGGAACAGCAGAGCAGCCAAAATGGAGTTGCTCATACTCATAGCAAGGCTCCGTCCAAAATGGTACCCTATTTCCTATATAGCGTGCCCTATACTTTTGGTAGCAGTGCACTATATAGGGAATAAGGTTCCATATCGAACGCACCCCAAAACATCACTTTCTGATCCATATCCACATTCATGTTATAGCTGATTTTTGACAACGACATATGTGACTAGATACAGTGCCTTGCAAAAGTATTCAACCCCTTGGCATTTTCCCTATTAATTAATTTAAATTAATTTAAATACATTTTTATTTGGATTTCATGTAATGGACATACACAACATAGTCCAACTTGGTGAAGTGAAATGAAAAAAATAACTTGTTTCAAAATATTCAAAAAAATAAATAATGGAAAAGTGGTGCGTGCATATGTATTCACCCCCTTTGCTATGAAGCCTCTAAATAAGATCTGGTGCAACCAATTACCTTCAGAAGTCACATAATTAGTTAAATAAAGTCCACCTGTGTGCAATCTAAGTGTCACATGATCTGTCACATGATCTCAGTATATATACACCTGTTCTGAAAGGCCCCAGAGTCTGCAACACCACTAAGCAAGGGGCACCACCTTGCAAGCGGCACCATGAAGACCAAGGAGCTCTCCAAACAGGTCAGGGACAAAGTTGTGGAGAAGTACAGATCAGGGTTGGGTTATAAAAAAATATCAGAAACTTTGAACATCCCAGGGAGCACCATTAAATCCATTATTAAAAAATTGAAAGAATATGGCACCACAACAAACCTGCCAAGAGAGGTCCGCCCACCAAAACTCACAGACCAGGCAAGGAGGGCATTAATCAGAGAGGCAACAAAGAGACCAAATATAACCCTGAAGGAGCTGCAAAGCTCCACAGCAGAGATTGGAGTATCTGTCCATAGGACCACAGAGCTGGGCTTTACGGAAGAGTGGCCAGAAAAAAAGCCATCGCTTAAAGAAAAAAATAAGCAAACATGTGGGAGATTCCCCAAACATATGGAAGAAGGTACTCTGGTCAGATGAGACTAAAATTGAGCTTTTTGGTCATCAAGGAAAACGCTATGTCTGGCGCAAACCCAACACCTCTCATCACCCCGAGAACACAGTTCTCACTCCCGAGTGGCGCAGTGGTCTAAGGCACTGCATCGCAGTGCTAGCTGTGCTACTAGAGATCCTGGTTCGAATCCAGGCTCTGTCGTAGCCGGCCGCGACCGAGAGACCCATGGGGCGGCGCACAATTGGCCCAGTGTCGTCTAGGGTAGGGGAGAGAATGGCCGGCAGGGATGTAGCTCAGTTGGTAGAGCATGGCGTTTGCAACGCCAGGGTTGTGGGTTTGATTCCCACGGGGGGCCAGTATGAAAAAAATTATGTATGCACTCACTAACTGTAAGTCGCTCTGGATAAGAGCGTCTGCTAAATGACTAAAATGTAAATGTAACACCATCATGCATGTGGGGAAGTTATTCATTGGCAGGGACTGGGAAACTGGTCAGAATTCAAGGAATGATGGATGGCGCTAAATACAGGGAAATTCTTGAGGGAAACCTGTTTCAGTCTTCCAGAGATTTGAGACTGGGACGGAGGTTCCCCTTCCAGCAGGACAATGACCCTAAGCATACTGCTAAAGCAACACTTGAGTGGTTTAAGGGGAAACATTTAAATGTATTGGAATGGCCTAGTCAAAGCCCAGACCTCAATCCAATTGAGAATCTGTGGTATGACTTAAAGATTGCTGTACACCAGCGGAACCCATCCAACTTGAAGGAGCTGGAGCAGTTTTGCCTGGAAGAATGGGCAAAAATCCCAGTGGCTAGATGTGCCAAACTTATAGAGACATACCCTAAGAGACTTGCAGCTGTAATTGCTGCAAAAGGTGTCTCTACAAAGTATTGACTTTGGGGGGGGTGAATAGTTACGCTCAAGTTTTCAGTTTTTTTGTCTTATAAATATTTTGCATCTTCAAAGTGGTAGGCATGTTGTGTAAATCAAATGATACAAACCCCCAAAAAATCCATTTTAATTCCAGGTTGTAAGGCAACAAAATAGGAAAAATGCCAAGGGGGTTGAATACTTTCGCAAGCCAGTGTAAGTGAATTACTGTACAATGTACCATACTCAGATTTGAGTGCTATGCTGCTATCTTTAAATTAGACAGAGAAAATTCAGTAAACTTGATGCCACCAGCGATGACGGGATAGGGGCCTGTGACAGATGATCACCTGGAAGTATTAGTCAACGATGCCACGGTAAAATGATGTTGGATTTATGATCCCCCAGATAGACAGGGGATTGATAGCCTCACTGTTCTGTGATAGCTTAGAACAAGTCAACACTAATACATTATAACTGGATATCTGGGTTGTTCCATGAAAAGTGTGTCAGATTTGATATTTTAAGTAGAAATTGTGCACCAATATTGAATTTTAAAAGCCAGTTATTTTAAATGAAATGCCCTTTAATATTGATTATTAATATGAATAAAGACTTGCTAAAGTGCAAAGATTCAACATATTTTTTGGTACTTTTTAACACTTTTTCTCCCCAGGCTCATGATATCCAATTGGTAGTTACAGTCTTGTCCTATCACTGCGACTTCCGTACGGACTCGGAAGAGGCGAAGGTCGAGAGCCATGCATCCTCCAAAACACGACCCCCCCACTGCTTCTTGACACACTGTTCGCTTAACCCGGAAGCCAGCCGCACCAATGTGTCGGAGGAAACACTGTATAGCTGGCGACCGAAGTCAGCAGGCATTTGCCCGGCCTGCCACAAGGAGTCGCTAGAGCGCGATGGGACAAGGCCGGCCAAACCCTCGCATAAAATTAACATTTTAGTCATTTAGCAGACACTCTTATCAAAGCGACTTACAGTTAGTAATACCGGACGACGCTGGGCCAATGGTGCGCCGCATTATGGGTCTCCTGGTCACGGCCAGCTGAGACACAGCCTGGGATCGAACCCGGGTCTGTAGTGACGCCTCTAGTACTGCGATGCAGTGCCTTAGAGCACTGTGCCACTCGGGAGGCCTCCAAACATTTAGCATTTTGACATGTCCCTCCGTGTACCCTCTGTGACTTCTAGGAAGATTTTAACCCACTTAAACCCAAAATGTCTACAATTTTTCAACATAATTTTAAAGCCCTAGTTATTTTGTTTCTTTGACAAAGTCATTTCTGAAGATTATTATTTATTTCATGTGATTAGTGATCCATTTATGTCTGTCCCTCATTTTAAGGTCAACCCTGTTACGTGAACTGAACTCTTGTTTTAATATGGTAAAACTATTCCTTAAAAAAAAAAACATTCAAAAGAAACATTGACCATTTTATAGTCAAATCATAGTGTAAAAGCAAGTGATCTGGTTCTACAGTTTTTGGTGAAATAACACATCAACCCTGTTACCTATTTTGTTTGTGAAGCTTTTTAATTACCACTCCCTGTTTTACATAAAAAGCTTCCATTCCCCTGGTCCTTGTATAATTATGAAGAGACATTTAAACCAAAACATCCCCACAAGCTTTACTTCATGATATGTATTACTCTGACTTTTCCTCTATCAGCTGCATGCATGACCTTGAATTAGCTCTAGAACTGTTTTAATCTATTTGTATCACTCTGGCAGACAAACACGCACCGTTTAAAGACCAAAGAGTAAAAAATAGAACACATCCTTGGTTCTCTATAGAACTTTCAGATCTTGTTATGATGAGAAATCAGGCCTGGGCCAAGGCTAGAAAAACAGAATCTGTTGCTGATGGCAGCTTTTCAGGCAATTGAGAAATAGATGCACCTCCTCAATTAAGTGTCACGCTCGTCTAAGGAGGAGGACCAATGCGCAGCGTCGAAGGTGAACATATTTATTATATCAATGATCACACGATCAAAACAACAGACGATAACGTGATGTCTACGGTTTAACACAAACCAAATAAGAACAAGAAACCACAAATAATGCATGCCTAACGGCTACCTAAGTATGACTCCCAATCAGAGACAACGAGCTACAGCCGTCTCTGATTGGGAGCCACCCTGGCCAACATAGAATTACAACAACTAGAACATAAACAAAAGAAAACTCACACCCTGGCTCAACATACTAGAGTCCCCAGAGCCAGGGCGTGACAGTACCCCCCCCTAAAGGCGCGGACTCCGACCGCGCCAACCAAATACAACAGGGGAGGGACCGGGTGGGCACTCCGCCTCGGCGGCGGATCCGGCTCCGGACATGACCCCCACTCCTTCTCTAACCCCCCAAAGTACCCCTGGTCCGGTCTCGCCCTGCTGACCAGAGCTGAACTGAACACTGGTGGAGCGGATTGCTCTAGCTCCGGCGTGACGCAGCACCTGACCGGTGCCGGACCCGCCACCGGTGGAACAGGCACGGGCCGTGCCGGACTGACGACGCACACCACTGGCTTGGTGTGGGGAGCAGGAGCGGACCGAGCCGGGCTGACGAAACGCACCACTGACTTGGTGCGGGGAGCAGGAGCGGGCCGGACCGGGCTGACGAAGCGCACCACTGACTTGGTGCGGGGAGCTTGGATGGGCCGGACTGGGCTGGCGACGCGCACCACAGACTTGGTGCGGAGAGCAGGAACGGGCCGGACAGGGCTGACGAAACGCACCACAGACTTGGTGCGGGGAGCAGGAATGGACCGGACTGGGCTGGCGACGCGCACCACAGACTTGGTGCGGAGAGCAGGAATGGGCCGGACAGGGCTGACGAAACGCACCACTGACTTGGTGCGGGGAGCAGGAATGGGCCGGACTGGGCTGGCGACGCGCACCACAGACTTGGTGCGGAGAGCAGGAACGGGCCGGACAGGGCTGACGAAACGCACCACTGACTTGGTGCGGGGAGCAGGAATGGGCCGGGCCGAGCTGGCGATGCGCACCGTAGACTTGGTGCGAGTGGCAGGAACAGGCCGGACCGTACTGGGAACACACACCACTGGCCCTACGTGGGGATCAGGAACAGGCCGGACCGGACTGGCAACACACGCCAGTACCTCTCGCCGTGCCTCTACATCTTCCACCCCCTCTTCGACCAGTGGCCCCTGTAACCTGGCGGCCTCCTCTGGCAACCCGCTGGGCCGCTCTATCGCGGCCTCCTGCTGGTCCGACGTCGTGAGCCCCCCCCTAAAATTTTTCTGGGAGTCTCTCTTCCCCGTGGGCCAGGCCTCGATAATTCTCGCCCAACTCTCGCTCTTCTGCTTCCAATCTCCGCCATTCAGCTCCTCATTCGGCTTGACCCAGTCGAAGCTCTTCCTCCACTGTTGCCAAGTCCACCCACTCTGCTCCTCACTAGGCTGCTTGGTCCAGTTCTGGTGGTTTCTTCTGTCACGCTCGTCTAAGGAGGAGGACCAATGCGCAGCGTCGAAGGTGAACATATTTATTATATCAATGATCACACGATCAAAACAACAGACGATAACGTGATGTCTACGGTTTAACACAAACCAAATAAGAACAAGAAACCACAAATAATGCATGCCTAACGGCTACCTACCACAAATAATGCATGCCTAACGGCTACCTAAGTATGACTCCCAATCAGAGACAACGAGCTACAGCCGTCTCTGATTGGGAGCCACCCTGGCCAACATAGAATTACAACAACTAGAACATAAACAAAAGAAAACTCACACCCTGGCTCAACATACTAGAGTCCCCAGAGCCAGGGCGTGACATTAAGAAAGCTAAATCATGCTACTTTCTAAGTTCTATCTCAGACTCTGCTGGTGATCCGTCAAAACAGTTAATGCACGTAAGTGTGGAAATTCCTCTCCCTCCATGCCTAAGCAAGTTGTATCAGGGTCTAGCGTCTTCACTGAGAAAAATTAGATAAAATGTTGATTAAAAGCATCACTTATCTCTGCGGGCCTTTAATTTTAAAGACATTGTGGTTTAATTGACCCTGGTCAGTCAATCGAGTGCTCATCCCTCTCCCAGCCTCTAGTTGGCATGGAAGATCCATAAACTTCTAGTGAACCTTTGTTTTCATTTCAACAACTCTCAAATCCACTGGGGCTGATTTGCTTGATCCTTTCTTGCTGCAGCTTTCTGCTCCCCTAATTGTGGAATCATTGACATATTTTTAACCTGACAATTATCTCAGGTGCTATCCCTAGGGTCTGGAAGGCTGCCCATGTGCCCCCTCTCCACAAAGGTGGTGACCCCTCTGACATGAATAATTATCGCCTGATCTCTAAACTGTCCTGCCTAGCGAAAATTTTTGAATCTTTAATCAACACTCAGCTTAGCTCTTTTCTAGCTTCAAAATGTATTCTAAGTGTCTTCTATTCAGTTTGGTTTCAGGCCAGGTCATAGTAGTATATGTGCTGCTTCTTTGGTGATAAAAAAATGGTGCTGCCCATTTTATAGACCTGTCGAACGCTTTCGACACTGTTGACCATTCATTATTCATTCGTAGACTGTCTGAAATTGGCCTGGGTCAGGCAGCCTGCATTTGGTTTGAAAACTACCTGTCAGACAGGACACAATGTGCTTCTTCTGATGTAGTTAAGTCAGGTTTCCTTGATATTACTAAGGGTGTCCCACAGGGGTCGATTTTAGGTCCTGTACTTTTTACTGTCTATATAAACAGTATTGGTCAATCTGCAAAAAATTGTAACATACACCTGTATACAGATGACAGTGTTGTGTATGCTATTGCCCCTTTTGTTGACAAGGCTCTCTCAGAACTATAATCTGCCTGTATTGCCCTGCAGAAAGCCCTTGTTGAACTGAAATTGGTACTTAATGCAGGTAAAACTAAGTAAATGTTATTTTCAAAAAAGCTTCAACATTTATCTGATGATTTATACATTTGTACATTGGATGGTGCCCACATTGATCGTGTCCCCACTTATAAATATCTGGGTATTTGGATTGACGAGAAGCTATTAATTAGTTACACTACCTTACTTCATTTTAATACCAGACCCGGTGTCAGGAAAGGCTAACTCTGGAGATCCCTTCGATCGCTAATGAATTAGGTCAATCTGATTTTAGTTTTTTTTACACCTTACTTGTGGAATAATCTCCAAAACTCTCTAAAATTGGAGTTGGTGCCTGTCGGGCAATTCAGATGGCTAATTAAGAATGTGTTTGTTTTTATATGATTGTGTTTTGCTTTTCGTGTATTGATGTGTATATTGATGTGTATATCAAATCAAATCAAATCAAAGGTATTGGTCACATACACATGGTTAGCAGATGTTATTGCGAGTGTAGCGAAATGCTTGTATAGTGTATATTGATGTGTATTGATGTTTGATACAGGGCTCATCTGTAAAAGAGACTTTGGTCTCAGCATGACTCCCTGTCAAAATAAAGGTTAAATAAAATTTTTTTTTGCACTAATTCGAAAGTAGTGCACCATATAGGGAATAGGGTGCCATTTGGGATGCACCCAGAGAGTTCAGCAGCAGAGAGAGAAAAGGACTGGGGGGCTCTGGGTGGATTAAGCTGGGCGCAGGTGGGTTGTCGCTGATTTGACACCTCTAGATGTGCAACAGCAGGGGTAGGCAACTAGATTCAGTCACGGGTCGATTTTCTTTGTATGGTCAGGGAGCAAGAAAATAATTATAATAATTTGTACACTGCAAATTGACCACAACTAAGCTCAAAAAGAGATTGTATTTGAAAAGAACAATAATTTCATACCTTCATTACATTGATACACGATCACGTCTCTTTTTTTTATTCAAGGGAATATTTGGGAACAGATTTCCTTAATTAAACTCATTTTTGGCTGAACTGATTTTACAGTATTTTTTTACCCAAAATTATTTTTAAAAAATCCTTTGGGGGAAAAGAAATCCCTTACGGGCCGACCACTGTGCTACAGTATGAAGCCACTGGATCTCGGGCCCCTCGCTTCGCTCCTCTCCTCCTCCTCTCCTCCTTCTCTCAGGCTCCGGTGAGAGGACTGAAATCCCCACATCATATCACATCACACAGACAGACACACAGAAAGACTGGGCATCATCTCACTGAG